TGTTCTGTCTTGCCAATAAACGAGGATCAGCATTCCCAGACTTGGATGCCGGGTAATTTTGAGATCCATGTTTAATATTGAAACCATTCCTCTGGCTGGAAATAACCTCAGTAACACTGGTTCTACCAACACCCACACCTTTAGTCTGTGAAAGATCAGAGTCATAAGTACCAAATGTAACACCAATGTTCTTATCACAAATAGCATAGTTAAATGCATCTCTATGATAATACCGGATTTTCTGACAACTTCAAAATAGAAGCAGAAAGTGAAAAGGTAATAACAGATTAAAACAAACTTTAAAACACCTCACATACATTCATTTTAACAGAAAGATCTCCATATGGCCATCCAGCTGTAATGGCTGCTCTATCCGGCCTCTCATAATCCTCCTTTGAGTTGGCCAAAGTTCCAGTCATATCATTTACCATACCTTTTGCCTTCATCACACTAAAGCAAATCAATAGAAAATCCCGTATATTGAAGGCATTAAATCTATCACATAGAGCTGAGAGAAACTAAGGAAGTTAAAATCAAGACAAGGTCACAAGGACCAAAAGAATTGGCAACAGTGGCATTGATATGATTCCACAAAGGATTAGAAAGGAATGATAGTGGGAATCTCAAAATTTCGGATATGAATCTTTAACCAACAAGATGAAGAAAATACGGGAGTAAAAGTATTTAAAGTGCTAGCTTTATAAATATAAGCAATCTCCAACTTCAATAAATGCTTCAGAAATATACTGAAAAGCACTTGAATGAATCTTTAACAAAAAAGAGGACAAGATGATTGTAGAATTTACCCTGCTAGACTGTTGAAGTCGCTGCCTTTCTAGATACTTTGGATTTACATGAATGCTATGTGGTGGACGCTGTGAAAGTAGATCGGGTCTTGATGTTGTCGTTCCTGAAGATGAACCATTTATCATGGGAGCAGAGCCAAGTTCCTTTTCAATCACCTGGAGGGTCGGAGGAGGGAATACCCCTTTCCATGTTCCAAAAAGATATCGCATACTTTGATGCACAGGAGGATCAACTTGTCTATTTGCTTTGCAGAACACCTAAATCAAGCAGTCAAAATGTTATGGATCATACACTTGATACATGAGTATCAACTTCATTCTATACAAACACAAAATTAACATACAAAGAAGATTTCAGCATTTGGAAGAGTTTAAGATCCTAAGCACATAAAGGTGGCAACTGAATGTATATATTTGTCAAAGCGTATAGTGTTTTCATTGAGAACATAGTCTTCTGCAGTTTTTCAAGCAATAATCAATCATACATAAGCATACTACAAGAAATTTTGACAGATGTCCCATTCAGTAATGATGGAATCAAAAGAAAAATAATGAAACCTAACCTCTGGCAATCTGGCAGCAAAATGTTTAATGTAATCTCACCCAATATTCTTTACAATACTGTCCAAAAGATAGAGCGGTGGCAGCTTTTGCTCACTGGGAACCTGCAAAGTGATTTTTAATCAGCTTCCAAGCCACAAAAGCTTTGAACTAATTATTAATCAAAATACTAACCGCATCCATAATACCAGAAAAGCTTTAATGAAAAAGAAAATGAGATGAGGGAGGATTGAGTACAAGCGGCAAAAATAAATAACTAAAAATGAACCAAATGCGTCATTTTCCTAGTAACGAAGAAAAGTAAGAGAGAGAGAGAGAGAGAACTCTCAGCAATAAAGATTTTTTGCAACAGTAACAAAAGTAATTGAATCCCTGCTACCAAAAGTAGTCGGCCTTTTAACATCATCAAGTGTGCACTTCCATTTCAATGAAATCTGAGTTTATGCTTCACTTTCTTTCCCCTGTTTCTGTCTTTCTATCTGATTGCAACTTCCAGAAAAATAGCTCCATCACAGAATATAAATCCATTGAAGTTCAAGTAATCACATCTGAGGCACCAGTTTAAAGTAGATTTGGAAAACTGATCTTTACCATCTGCCGGTCATGGGCAGGAAGTAACAGCAAACTCAAGCACTTACAATGCCTTAGCATTTCTAGTTATATTCCCACATCTCAACATCCAAGTGCCATTCTAGTAACATAACAAAAATTGCTATTAAGAGATGATACATGTAAATTGGTAAAATAGTATACCGGATTACAAAGGAAAATAAGTTGAGGTGAAAAAAGAGTAGAGCATACAACTATATTGCTGTGAAAAATACCCAACTGCAAGGCTATAAATAGCTTTGTCATATTCAAAATCCAATACAATTTATTCTCCACGAAATCAATAGTCAAAAGCATGGTTTTAAATAGCGTTCGCGGTCAAGTTTTTGGTCACGTCGTGTTTATCACGGTTGCGGACATAACAGATGTCATTATTGTCATTGCGAGTATCGCGGTCGTGAATTTTTTAAATGTCTCACAACTTACCCTAAAATGACTAAATTAAATATAATTAAAATAAAATTTAAATTTTAAATTGCATAAATTTAGATTACTGAAATTAAGATTAAATTAAATAAAAATTAAAGTTTACATTTTAAACTAGGGATTAAATTATAAATTCTAAGAGTAGGGATCTCAAATTAATATATCCTTTAAAATTATATTTTAAAATTATTAAAAATAAATAAATCACCCCATCCCCTTCCCCGACCTTTCTGCCTCCCCTACCCCAACCTTTCTGGTTCTAGCCTTCTACCTCCTGCTTCCTCCTTCCCCCCACCATTTTCTGAAAAAAGAAAAGAAAAAAAACTACACCACCAATGTTTGTGCAGGGAATGTTGGTTTTTGTTTTGGAATCACGGTTGAATAATAGTTGTTGTGTCCCATTATTGGCGCAATCGTCTATTTCTCGTTAAATTGTGGGCACAATCGACCGAGATTGGTGTGAATCCGTGACCCACCACAAAAACCATAAAAATCGATTTCGAACGGTGGTGCGACTGCAATATCATAGATGCTATCACGTTTTCGGAACACTATTTCATACCCTGGTCAGCTACGAGCTCCCTTCATATTCCATTCCAGCAAATGGCTGTAAAGTTTATCATCTCTAAACCCAGTAGTCGAATGTCTACATTTATAGGGTCACTAGAAAAATATCAGATCCATGAGAAATTATCATGGACATAAAGGAAATGAGAATTTTTAGGTAACAACCTTAGGTTTAAATTAAATAGCCTAGCAATGGAAAAACATCATTATAATCTCACATGATACGCCTGTCACTAATAACTAGAGATGGGTATACGGGCTACCCGCCCGTTTAGCCCGCGGGTTTTGACGGTACGAGCTTAAACGGAACGATTTAAAAAGCCCGCAATCATAAACAGTTTTGAATTCTAAGGCCCGTGGCCCGTCCATTTAACCTGCGGGCTAAACGGGCTTACCCGTTTACTGTTACTGTTTATGTGAAAAAAGAGAGAAGTTGGGGAGATAGAGAGAAACGACGGAGAAGGGAAACAAAAAAATGAAGCTATGGTTCCTAAAATTTTATAACGGCGTATATATAATATAAGTCACACAAAATAACTTATTTTAGGGATTTATGACAACCATAACAAGTTTTAATGTGTTAATCGTGTAAGGGCTTTACCTACTTTTGATTTAATGCAATATATTCCTCAAATATAGTTTATTATTTTAGTTTTGCATTTTAATTTTATGTATGTTTTTTATCACTGCCTCAAGTTTTATAATATTATTTGCATATTTGCATATTTTGTTACTTTACCTTTTTAATTTAATTATTATATTTATACATGGTTTAATACTTTGATTTATTTTTTTTCTGTTTTTAACGTATGTGTATATAATTTTTCTTATGATTAATTATTGGAGTATAATATACGTTTTATGGCTTATTTATATATATATATTGATGGTATTAATTATAAATGGTAAATACATATATAAAAAGATGGAAACATTTTTGCTTATGTTATCATATTACGTTACCATAGGTATAATTAATAAGTTCGAACTTCAAAATTTGAACTCATCAAATTAAAACGTGAATTGGGCTTCAGATTCCAGTGCACATAAAACGTGAATTAGGCTATGGCTAAAATGCACATAAAACGTGAATTGGGCTAAACGTGAAATGTCCTCCGTAAAACATAAAATAAATTGAAAAAAATAGTTAAATTAAACAGGCTACCTGCGGGTATACCCATTAAACCCAAACCCGCGAGTTTAACAGTACGAGCTAATAAACCCGCAATTTAAACAAATTTTATTTTTTGATGTCCGAAGCCTGCACGGGCCGCGGGTTATACGGGTAGCCCACTGGCCTTATCCCATATACCCCGCTCTACTAATAACGAACACCCTTGGAGACGTCAATGATCTAATCATCCGTTGTGAAAATATAAATTTTGAACTTGAATGCGCTCTGCCAAGCATTTCAGTAAACCCACATCGAGACATGCATTGATAAAACTGAAACTATAACCATCCATTAATCCAATTTACACTTACAATCCAACTTATATTTTGCTCTTTTGTTTTCTTCCCAAGGTATAGAAGGGTACATATGATTAATTTCGCTGTACAATTCAATTTCAAACAAAAAGGAAAGCTTAACACGTAAGGCACAGCTAGAACTGAGTTCACCTCAAGAATGTTGGCGCAAACGGTAGCAGTAATCGCCTTGACAGCATGGACATTCTCGCCGGCTATTATTGTCAAGTTAGTTATAATTAGCTTCGAGTTAAAAAGTCAGCTCAGTAAAGCCGTCTTGGACTGGCTAACTAACTCTTGATGTTGCTGCTGTTGTTAGTGATGTGACTCTGGTTGTGGCTCGTAAGCTCCACCGCCAGGACTCATGCCATCCGTGTCGGAACCATTGGGCTGGAATCTTAAAGAAGATGCCGAACCAGTCGGGAAGGTCCGTTGAGGAAAAGCTCGGGCGTTAGAGTTCAGAGCGAGGTCTTCCGTTAAACGCGGTTTTTCAAACGGGGTCCTCATGATCTATCAAACGACCTACGCGGATTCTCCATATTGAATGATTAACATACAGAGTACAAATATATCAAAAACCCTAAATCGATAAGGACTCGTTATTCCATCTCAATGAAAGCAGCAAACAAAAAAACTGAACCAGTACAATAATAAATATAAGTCCAAGAATTACAAAAATTCAAGAGCCGGAATGTACAATGAGGGAAAAACATAAAATCCTCAGACTAAATTATATACAGCAACAAAGAGGAAAGAAAAACTAAACTCTAATTTTCTAAAAGTAAAGAACCAATAATTGTCTATATAAAGAGGTAACAAAAAGAAATGGGGAATTAGGCCTTTATTTGGATGTGAAAGGGGTGATATACATGAGAGTGAAACAGCGAACGTTGAACGGAGAAAATGAAGCAAGGTTAAGGGTTAATTGTAAATTTTGAGAGTATGGAGATTTATTAAATAATGGAGGGAAAATAATAGAAAATGAATTGGACTTTGGAGCCCTAATTTGGTCGGCTGCTCCCCACCTCACCCAAATGGATCCAATGGTTATGCCTGGCCCAATAAATAGTGTAAGGGTGACCAAAATTCGATTCAACTTGAAAAATTATTTTTTTTCATTTTGAGTTAGTCGAGCTGAGTTTAATTATTTAAGTTATTCAAGTCAACTTGAATTATTAATTCGATTTTCAAGTTTGAGTCGGCTTGAAATTTAAAATTTTCGAGTTATTTGAAAAACAAAAAATTTGACTATGTATTTTAACAGTTTTACAATTTAGTCTCTATTTCATTTATTCCTTCAATTCCTATTTCATTTTAAGTCTATTTTTCACCAAATTTAAACCACATGATCCTAAATTATCGTGAATACATATATATTTTCAATTCCTCTTTTCAATAACAAGTTTTCTATTTTTCAATTTAATCCCTTAATTTTTCATAATTTCCTAATTTCTTCGATTCATCATTTATTTTAAGCTTGTTTTTATTAAATTTGAACCACGTGCTGATATACCACTACAAAATACATATGTAACTTCAATTCTTTTTTTTACCAAAAATACTCTCTTTTTTATTTAGACCTTTAACTTTGCATTTTACTCAATTTGATCTTTTGACTGAAATTATTCACAAAATCTTTCTTCTCATCAATTCCTTGACTTTTTTTTGTACTCTCATCAATATTTTACCCTCAAAATAAAGAAAAATAATATTATGAATATATTTTATAATTTTAGATTGTATTTGATATATTAAATAACATTGTAATATAGTATTTGATATTTTATATATATCTTATTTGGTTAGAGAAGTTCAAAAAATTGGAACCAATTCTTACCATCATATTATAAATAATTATAATAAAATTAGCATGGAAACTTGAATAACTCGACTCGAAAAAAATTTGAGTTAAGTTCGAATTGTAAAATACGACTCCTGAACTCGAATAACTCAAAATTTTTTTACTTGACTCGATCGAATGTTCACCCCTAATAAATACTATTTTTTTGTTAAACTACCTATTTGGTCCAAAATCTATTAATTAACGATAATGTGGATGTGGTATTTTATTTATTTATTTTTAATATTGATATGACAATATCTTATGATACCATATCAGTATTACAGTTAATTTTTAAAAGACGATGATCAAAATAGAATTCAAAATATAATATTAAATATGATTTTAGAAAATAATAATTAAATGAACAAAATAGAAATCAAGTAATAAATTAGTGATTAAATAAATAATTTATTTATTTCGGAATATGAGCTGAAAGAGGAATTGTTTACACTTTACTAGGGTAAAACATATATTTTGATAATATATTAGTCTTCTCTGAGAATGTCACATCATGGGAAATTTTATAAAAAAGTGTTACAGATGAAATGAAAACAATGAAAATACTAAGGAAAATTAACCCAAAAAAGTTTAAACAAATATTTCCGGGTTTTATTTTTTATTAATTTTACATAAAAATAAATTTTAAAAAGTTTAAGGGGTAAAAAGATATTTTGAGTTAAAAGTAAAAATATAATTAAATATTTTAAATTAATTTATGTTTAATTAAACTCGTAATATTATAATAAATAAGTCATTAAAACCCTTTTATTAACAGATATTATTTTTGATTCGTCAAATCATTTACTAAGTTGTCATGATAAATAAATTTTTAGTAATAATAATAATAATATTTGTTATAATATGGAAGAGTTTTAACTTACTTTTTATGTTTAATTATTAATTAAGTATAAATTATTAAAAAATAGTATTTTAGAATAATTAAAAATATAAAATATAAATTATAACGGAAAAAATTAATTTTATTCAAAATAGATAATATCTCAAATTATAATAAATATATACAATTAGAATCATAAATTAAGTACATAATTAGGATATTTTCCTATAATAATTCAAACAAAACTAGCAACTAAAGATCATACGAGAAAAGATTAAAAATCTAACTAAGAAACTTGAACAAATATAATACAAATAAATTTGATCGTATCGGCAAACGAACTACAAAAGAGGATCAAACTATTGAAATATCATATCAAAATCGCAAATTAAACTCGAGCGATGTGAAAAGTTATCTTGAAAAGCAAAACGGACATTCAAATCTACTTCGATAGTCCAAAGCATAAAACATCAATAAGAGATCAATCAGTCGTTGTGATGTCAAATCAATTCTTAAAAAAAAGATAAATGAGAAAAAAACCAAATGACCGAAAAATATGCCAAAAGATAAAGGAAAATGTGTCATAAAGATAAATAAAAACGTATCTTAAAGATAAATAAAAAATATGTCATATAAATAGATTTATTGAAAATAAAAAAAAGTCAAAGATAAATTAGAGATTAAAGTGATGTTTGGGCTGTAGCTTGCCTTACGTTGAGGGGGTTTGTTGATGTAACTGTTTTTTTAAAAAAACAGATTTTGACTGCTTCTTAGATAATAGAAATTTCAATTTATCCAAAAATATATATATATAAAAATAAAAAATAATTGTTTGGAAGATATACATATCAAAGTGTAATAAACATGAAAATAAAAAACTTCAGTAGGGCATCACCCGGTTTAGAGTGTGGGCCTATATCCAGCAATGAAACCCATATTCATCACTAAAAATATAAAGCCCTATTTCAACAAGTAGTAAGAAGAAAGAAAAAAACCCTAGCATCTCTATAACCGGCAAACCCTCCGCCTTTTCTCTTCTGTAAGTGACGAGCTCTTCCTCTCTCTATTGGTTTAGAATTTTGTTTCTGACCCAATTGATCTGTTTATCTTTATTTGTGTTTTAATAGGCAATCATGATGAAAATTAAGACCCCCAGGAGTGGAAGAGTCAGAAGGGCACTAGAAAAACGAGCTCCAAAGCTCGTAAGTATTTAAGAATTTCTTCAGAAATCCTTTTAATGGAGATTTATGCTATAAAAATGTTTTTTTTAATTAAAACTGTGTTTGGCAGGTGGAAACAGGGAAGAAAACACTGATACTGCAAGGTACAAAGACGAGCGGCACATTGAATGAAGTTTTGAGTGAAATTTACCATTTAAAAAAGGGTGGAGCTGTGAGGTTTACGAGGAAGAATGACAATATAAGGCCTTTTGAAAGTGGGGGTGAAACTTCTTTGGAGTTCTTTTCTCTTAAAACTGATTGCAGCATCTTTGTCGTGAGTAGTTCAAACCCTAAAGCTTCGATTTTCAAATTTATTTGCTCTTTCTCGGCTATCATTGTTATAAACTTATATTGCGTTGTCTTGGCTTCTAGAATGCTAATTTTGGTTTAGTAAAGAAGGTTTAATGCTTTTAATTCCCCCTATTTGAAGACTTAAGCTATTTGAGATTATATTATAGGATTGCCCTTGTTTTTGTTGGTTTAACTGTTTGAGGACAGCACTCTAATTGAAAATTGCTTAATTAGTTTTAAAAACCTGGATTTTCTAGAGGTTCTTACATTTTGTGCTAGCTGTTTTCTAAATAATTTTTGTGGATGTATGCTTTTATGTTGGCAGTATGGTTCACACTCGAAGAAACGACCTAACAACCTTGTTTTGGGGCGGATGTATGATCACCATGTATATGATCTAGTTGAGGTCGGGGTTGAAAATTTTAAATCCATTGAATCATTCACTTACGACAAGAAGATGGCCCCACGGGTGGGATCGAAGCCTTTCGTTGCTTTCGTTGGAGAAGGATTTGAGAATGTAGATGAGCTGAAACATTTGAAGGAAGTTTTGCTTGATCTTTTACGAGGAGAGGTTTGTATGCACGGCTTTTAGCACTTCCTTTTTTTATTTTGAAAGATCGTCTATAAAGATGTTTGTAATTAATTCAGGTTGTGGAGAATATAAACCTTGCTGGGTTGGACCGAGCTTATGTATGTACAGCAATTTCTTCAAATAAGGTATACCTTACACATTGTGCCCTTCGGTTGAAAAAGTCTGGCTCTGTTGTTCCGAGGATGGAACTCGTAGAAGTAGGCCCTTCCATGGATTTGGTGGTTCGACGTCATCGTCTTCCAAATGAAGGCTTGAGGAAAGAAGCTATGAAAACAGCTAAAGATCAACCAAAGAAGAAGGTTCGATGAGTTTGAACAATAAATCAATCCTTTAAAATGTCTGCTGGTTAATTAACCTATTTTTGTTGTTTCAGATTAAAAATGTTAGCTCGGATGCAATAGAAGGGACAATTGGCAAGATCTACATTCCTGATCAGAAGGTAAGACGATAATGGATCTTTAAACTTATAAGAAGTCAACCTGTATGTACTTGTTTTTCCCCACTAGTAGTGGCCATTATTTGAACAATACTTGTTGGTTATAGGTCGGAGATGTGGCTCTACCGAACAAAGCCAAAGGTGTGAAGAGAGAGCGACGTGAAGCTAAGAAGAAAGAGGCTAATGAACGGGCCTCAAAAAAGCAGAAGGAAGAATCTGAGTGAATGTATGGTATAGCCTTGTGGAAATGGGATGCTCTTTACGTGGCTGGGACTAGCAGTCTTCTGAAGGGAATACAAATGGAAGCTGCCCTATGGTGTTTCAACTATATAATCTATTAAATTTGTTCTAGGTTTTAATGTTGGATTGTTACAACTTAACTTTTCAAGGAAAAGAAAGAATTTTGTTCGATATTTATGGTGTCCATTTACTATTCAAAGATCTGAAGTTTGAATCTGTTCTGTTTATATCCGTTACTATTTGAATGTTCACAAGTTCAAAAAAACTATATCCTTAATGAATGTTAACAAATGACTTTTTTTTTTACGGAAATTAACATTCAAGTCAGATTATTTTACGAATGTAAACGGTTAAAATGTAATAAAATAACCCCCAGGTCTGCTCCCTTTGAATCTGTTGAGTGGAAACCTCCTCCAAATTGGATGTCTGAACTTGACGGTGGTCTCTCTTGTATCAAACATTGAGGCGGCTGGTGGAGAATTACGAGATCATTCAGGTGATTTTACCATGACTTATAATAAGAATTTTGATTTATCCTCAATACTTCATGTTAAGTTCTAGGTTGTCTACGAAGGTTTAAAGCTTGCATGGTCTAGTGATTTCGAACGAATCATATTGATTTCATTCTGATTCGTCACAAGGCAAATGCGGCTACTGATTTCATGGCAAAGTTGACCGACCCTAATGAGATGTCTCTTGATTTTCGATTCACCCCTATTGGCTTGCTGGGAATTTTAGTTAGAAATGTTTCTAGACCCCCTTAAGTCGCATAAAGACCTCATGTATTGGCACTAGCCTCTTTTACTATTCAAAAAAAATATTTGAGTATAATTTAAACACTTATTCGTCGAAGTTTTTTTATCTTTTATCTTGAAGTATTTGTATCTTACTCATATCACTAGTATACAGAAAAGATCCCTGACCCTCCAAATGCACGCAAAAACTTCTTAAAAGATCAAACAAACCAGTTGATATTCGACATGTAACATAGTTTGGCAACTAATCCAATATTCAAGCTACATTCATGACACAAGATAAATCCAGCAAGGCAAATATTGCACCAATTTGTGACTAGTACAGATATGGAAATATTCTCCATGGAACAAGTCTACGATATTCAGCCCATATGTCTTTGTACTTCTCTGCGCATCGGGCTTCATCTCTCCTTTCCCTCCATACCAATAGAATGAACAGATAAATCGGGTAAAAGTACGGAATCGGGGAACTGCAAAAACAACATGGGAAAGGGGTTTATAAAACAGTCAAACAAAACATAACGTTCCATCGGCTTATCAGGCAAGTTGCTCGGAAAGTTACCTTATTCCACAAGGTAAACTGAAGGACAAAGCCAGCAACAAATCCCCCAGGTAATTGGAGTGCCTTGCAATTCCCCTTTGAAGAAATACAAGCATCAGCATCACTTGAGAAAAGATAGTTGGAGGGTTATATTTGGTTATGTTCGGAAATGTCGATAGCATTAGTATAATAATGTAAGTGAAAAGGTTGTATTTTGAAGCTTATACAGTTATACCCCAACGAAGACTCACAGCAACAAATGTTATATATAACACATTCATTGACAAAGACTCGCAGAAACAAATGTACTAGACAACACATTCAACAATGATCATAAACATGTCCGGTTTTTGAAAAATTAGACTAATTCTTAGATGCAATCATGTAAATGAGTAGAGGGAATAATGATTGGAATCTTACCAATATCCCGAAGCAAGCAGCTTTCCCCCTATAACCTTTGGAGGCTTACCCCATATAAGTGCTTTTGGATTCTGTTTGAAAATATGCTTTTGCTTATTGGCTCCTCTAAATACAAGATACCTGCCAATTCAAAGAGACTGATTAAGATGCGGTAAAAATTCCCACGAGTTGGGGAAAATATATCCCACATGCTGGAAGAAAGTTACCCAATTAGAAAAACAAAACAATTTGCTATTGCAGCAGCCATTGTCAGCTCCACTTTCTGATTCAAAAGCCACCAACCCTATAGCAAAGGTGAAGATGCGAAATTTACCAGAACTTGAAACTGATAATGTTTTCTTGATACAGAATGCAAGTAATTTTATTACAAATTTATCCATGAAGAAAAAACCATCAGTAGAAAAATTAGAGAGAGATTAAATATAAATTCTATCGTTTTCTTGATACAAAGCACCTAGTGTATCCTCAAGCTGAATTGATAACATGCTTTTCACTGCAAGTACTGGTTTCTTTTGCACAAATCATTTCTAAATTAAAAATCAATTGTTGATCCACAGTACACCAGCAATAATAATAAACGGGGAAACTGCTACAAATTAGCTTCTCACATGCCCCAAATTGGAAGGAATACGGTGATTCCATTTATTTTTCACAGGTCTCAAAATTTCTCTAAAATAGTTCATGATCATGACATTATGAAGATCAGTGAGACCAGTGCAACTTGCTGATATTTTTTTTCTAAGTCATTATTACATGCCTGGATGCTAAAAGTGAAAGGAATCCACACGAGATCACCGAACACCAGCATGAATCCTAACCTCTCAGCAATTATGTCCCAGCTGTTAACAGAAGCAAATATTGATGGGTCAATTAAGTGAGTTTCTCACATAGAAATGGCCAAATCAACAACCTTAAATAAATCGGTCAAAGGACAGGAGACAAGTATGCACAAAGAAATGACACAAATAAAACAAGAATACAGAAAATGTGTCAAAATCTATGTAACACGAATTGTTAACTTATCAAAATACATAAAATGATATTAATACAGAATTGTTGACATGTTAAAATACATAAAATGGTATTAATACAGGGATTGCCAGGTCTAAACTAATATGAAGAACAATGACCTTACTGAGAGACATGGTCAAGAATAGATTTCCATCTCTGACATTTAATCAGAATAATGAGTTGCATGTGTTAGAATCTTCACCAGAAGCCATGTGAAGCATTGTAACAGTTGCTTAACAATAAACTAAAAGAAGATTTAAAGAAGAATAAGAAACATCAACAGAACTTTATTATTTTATAACAAAAGCCTGACTCTTGAATACAAAGAATGTCCCTCTATATAGGATGATTAACAGACTTCTAACTATTATCCACCTAACTCTTAACAGATTGTACAATGAACTAATGTACAGAGAAGTATAACTCTTATTGCATGAGTCCGAGGAAAGAATGATTATTTTACAATAACTTTAACATAAGGGTAATGGAACTTACGTGGAGGTCATGTACTCCTCGTGAACAAAATAATCAAGGATGTATATCTGGAACAAAGACATATGAAACAAAAGCTACTTAGATTTGGTATAAAACATGTCAGATATATTCTCAGCAACTTCATTAGAACAACCAGATTACCGCACAGAATAACTGGTAGAGGATCATTGATTGACTCAAAGAGCCGTCTTGAACACTTTTTGCAAGAATCGATAGGTTGATGAGTAGCCATCCCATCATTCCAGCTCTAACAAAGAAGAATCTACGGAGATGATTACCTCATCAGTAAAAAGGAATATATTCATCATGGAATAGATATACAGATAGTATAAAGAGGTCAAACAGCCAAGATACCAAATAATCAATCTAATTTTGCAAAGGAATGACAGCTCTAGTCTTATGAAGCAAAAAACATGTGGACAAAATCGAAAAGTAAATCACATACTTGAGATCAATACCCATAAACTGAGGATTAAGCTGTATCCCATACCACCTATAAAATAATATAAAGGCATAAATATCAAGATTACAATTGGCATTTTCTGTTTCTCAGAAGGCAGCAAAGAAAAGTAAGTAGAAAGACTTGAAATAGATCAAAGAACACAAAACCTGAATCTATCATTTTCAAAGTCACACAATACTTAAATACGAAATGAAGGGTGATATGATAGATGATGAGAAAGGATCAATTTATTGTATTTATTACAGAAACATAGATCCATAGTAATTTAACGACGGTAAATAAGTATAAGATGAAGGTGATAAATGCAAATTATCCTATCAAGTACCAAAACAAGAAGGGTTTCAAAATCTCATGATTATAAGAAGCCTAGTAATTTATTTTTCAAGGGACTTCAGATCATAAATGAAGGAAATTATGCAGGATGGAAAATAAAAACTCTTTTCATGCAGGTCGTAAAAGCAGCTAAAAGAACGGACAACAAAACATTTATGTTACTTGCTAACTAGTGTACCAGTCATGTATCAGGTTTCCGGTGATGTGAGGCTCTAATGAAGAACCTTTACTGCATGACCTGCAACCAGCAGCATAGAGTACTACCATTGTCTGAAAAACAGGGACAGAATGGTAAGTGGAAAGACAAATTAAAGAAAAGAAGAAGAAAAAATAGTAATTCCGAACCAAGGAAAAAAATGGAAACACAGAAGTCTAAAGTATAAACAATAGCCTATAGTTACAATTCAGAGGCTACTTTACATCCTATGCAACAATAAACTGTGCCAAAGTCTTGAAGTGATCCATTTACACATGGAGATGATCTCCGCATGTTTGATAATGTCGCTGTATGGGGAGGATCTCAGCAACCCAAGAGGTTGAGAAGTCTCAAGATTTAAAAACATAAACAATCCATTTACACATGGAGATGATCTCCGCATGTTTGATCAATTTACATATATGAATGCTCCTAAAGTTCTATCAGTAGTTTGCAGTACTTCATGCAAATAAAGGATTACTGTATGCCTAGAACAACCTATCAGGAAACTGACAGCAACTTACAAGAAAACTGAATATGAAAGTTGTTGAGAACAGCTCAAGTCCTCTGTCTGATATTACCTGCAATCGTTTCATAACAGCACACGTAAATGCAGTCGCATTAGTGTGCATAAAACACCCAATGTAAAATTTTGAACTGTTTTAAATCTCAATAAAGGCATCATTTAAAATTAAAAATAGAATATCTCAAATCGCTTGCTTGCAGACTTTAAAAGCAATATGTCCAGGTTAGCAGTTCAATAATATACAATGCGAAATGAAACAATATATGACCGTAGACATATAAATCCCAAGCCATTCAGTTCTGGTGCATGCCCTTCAAATCACTCTAAATATACAGAAATGGTGAATCCATAAAAAAAATCTGGGGGAATGGAAAAAGAAAGGTCCATATCTTCAACATTCAAGGTGATGGGAGTTAAATTCTGGCCTCAATTGGCCAGTATATTGCATTATAATCTAAACCAAAATTCACTGAAAGGGCAATCCGAAAAGTATACTTGAAGCACTTTTCCGCATACCAATATTAACAATATACACAAATAGAAGCTTAATAAAATATCATTCAACCAAAGACAAGTATACAAATACCGTGGGTGATACGAAATTCATCTTAGACCCAACCCCAAGAAGTCCAACTAACAAAAGAAGTGCTAGCAATCCTATTAACAATTGGGAAAAAATATCAATTAAAAAAATCATATTGAATCAAAAATTAAACTGTTCTAAAGGTAATCAGCATATAAACAGACCATTGCAGCGGTAATGGAGACGAGACCCATCTTGTAAAGTGACTCCAGGAACAAGTTTTCCAGGTAATATGGATCCAGCAACAGCTAAGTAAGCAAAGAATATTACCAATACAAGAACCTAGAAAAAAAGAGAGAATAATTTTTTATATATAATTTTCAAAAAAACTAAATTGTACTGAAACAAGGAGACTTGGTGGAAATTGTTGGTTACAGAGTTCCAAGAGGGAATTAAGGCTTGTAGAAGAACACCCAGATCCATTTTTCTGTTGATGAGTGTTGAATCTGGTTTACAAAACTTTTGAGCTCTGCTGTAAGTTTTTTTCTCTCTACTCTTGCTAAGCTGCGCTTCTGTTTAAAGAGTGTTGAAAAGTTCACTTACCCTCGAGAAGTTAACTTTTTATTTATATTTTGGTAATTTACGACTAAATCTATAGTTTGATCATTTAATTTTTAGGATAAAGTATAGAAATGGTTTTTAATTATATACTATATTTTGTTGAGTATCTCGATTATTAAAAGTTATAAAATATTTTTTATTATAGAGTTTTATTTTGTTGAGTCCTCCAGTTATTAAAAATTATAAAATGATCATTTAACTATTTATATTTTAAATTTGTCCTTTTGCGTCAAAAAATTGGTCGGTCATTTGAGTTGGATGTTAACCTATTGATCGAGATAATAAAATATGATCTCAGGACCGTTTGAGTTGTATTTTATGAATCGACTATTCGTTTATATTATGTCTAGTCAATGCTTAAAATATTATGTCGTTGAACCATTGTTAGAGAGTAACAGTGGTATCACTAAACATCATTAAAATATATAATTTTATTATATATCAATCGGCATGTTAATGTCTAGCTTAGAAGGCCATCAATTTTTAAATAAAAAATGACGAGTTTGAAATATATGAATAGTTGGATGACCATTTTATAACTTTTAATAGTTATAGAACTCAATAAAATAATACCCTATAGTTGGGGGACTATTTTTAAAACTTTTAATAATTGAATGACTCAACAAAATAGTACCGTTGGGAACTATTTGTGAACTTTACCCTAATTTTTAATTTATGAGTCAATTTTGTTTTTATTTTTTTAGATTTCTTATTTGTTAGGATAAGATTAATTTATTATTTTTAAGTAATAATTTTAATTTTTTAATAAACTAGAATATATCATTATATTATATATTTCTTCTCATATTTAGAGATGATCATTCGATCAAGTCGAATAATTTTTTTTTGAGTTATTCAAGTTGATGAGTCGTATTTTACAATACGAACTTAACTTTAAACTTTTTTGAGTCGAGTTATTCAAGTTTTTATACTAGTTTTTTATAATTATATATAATTTTTTACTTTCTCTAACCATATAAGATATATATATATATTTCACATTATAATGTTATTTAATATATCAAATACAATTTAAGATTAAAAAAATATATTCATAATATTATATTTTAAAGAAAATATTTTGAGGGTGCAATATTGATGATAATATAAATTAGTCAAAAAATTGATAAGAATAAAGAAGTTGAAAACAATTGTATTTAAAAGATCAAATTGAGTAAAATGTAAAGTTAAGGTATTAAGTAAAAAAGAGAGAGTACATTTTTAATAAAAAAAATAAGATTTAAAATTACATAGGTATTCCATTGTGGTATATGAGAATGTGGTTTATATTTGATAAAAAATAAACTTAAATAAATGATGAATTGAAGAAATAAGAAAATTATGAAAAATTGAGGAACTAAATTGAAAAATAAATTTTGTTATAAAAAAGGGATTGAAATTACATGCGTATTCTAAGATGGTTTAGGAGCATGTGGTTCAAATTTGATAAAAAAAAATTGAATTAAAATGGAGGAGAAATTGAAAGAATAATGAAATCATGAATTAAATCATAAAACTGTCAAAATACTTAGTCAAATTTTCAGTTTTTAAGTATCTCAAAATTTTAAAATTTTAACTCGACTGGAACTCGAAAACTGAATTGATAATTCGAGTTGACTCGAATAATCCGACTCAAATAACTCAAAATTAAAAAAATAAAAAAAATTGAGTCGAGTTTTACCCAATCTAATTATATCCATGCGTTTTGAGATCGTGGCAGTTAAGATAGTAAGTGGCCTTTAATCGTTTAGATTCTTGAACTGATTATCGTTTAAGCTTCTTGCCGTAGAAATGAGGGCTAAAATTAATTAATCAATTAATGATGACCTATCTTCCCAATCCATCCAAATTCAACTTTCGTTCCCTATTATATTGTTGTGTCATTTATTTTCTTTTATTTTTATTTGCTTATAATTGGTCAATTTTTTAATGGCTCATTTTCAGTCCTTTGGTTAATTTTTCTGTTAAACCTGTTTTAAAATGTGAAATCATGAATTTAGCCCTATAGTTTGTAGCGTTTTTCAATTTAACCCATGTTATTTTATATTGGTTACATTTAAAGATAGTCCCTAACCTATCAATTTATGTGAACTTAGTCCATTTATTTTTATTAGCTTATAACCGGTCACTATATTTTTTGAATTGTTCATTTTCAACCCCTTTGGTAACATTTTTTTGTTAATTCATTAAAAAATAACAAAAAAATTGACCTCCAATCCCTATAACTTCTATCAATTTTACTCATGATCTTTTATTTTTGTGCTTTGATTAGGGGGTTATTAAATAAAACCCCCCCATAAATTATTTTTTAACAATAACCCCTCCTCAGAGTTTTTAGAAAAATGACCTCAAACTTCTAACGTAGGACTAACTCGCATTCTAAGAAACACATGGTAATGTCTCGCGTTATACAGAAAGCAAGGTACGCCCAACGTGGGCACAGTTTTGAATGTCATTTTTACAACCGATTCCTACACATTCGACCCTATTTGAATTTCCACTACTTTAGAGGTAATTAATAATAAACTATGTTTATATATTTAAATTATTATATGTTTTTGTGTGTTTTATAAATAATTATATTTTATTATATGAATGATAGGTAGACTGTTACACTAACTCACGCCCACCTAACAAGAACTCTGGCTGATTTTAGATTGTTGATCGATAAGATAACAAACAAGGTAAATTATTTTATAAAATTTATTGTAATTTAAATATTAATTTTTAATTCGAGTTTATCTAACTTAGTTTAAAAATATTTGTTTTGTAAAATGATGATGCGATTAGATCATGTACTCTGGCTGAAATAGGTCTCAGTTCAAACGTTTGGATGTCGAAGGTCTTGTTGATAGTCTATGAGATAGTCGAGTGGCATCCTATCGATCGTGTGTTACGTCAATTTAATTGTTTCCAAACGATTCCGCTAACACCATCAGACTTGGATGCATTGTATTGTGTAACGTGACAGGGTAAGACGAAGGTTGATTGGGAGATGCATCATGGGGACTGAGTGATGTAGTGGATGATGAGATTATATAGGGTTCTTGTTTCTGAACCCATCTTCAACTACAATGTTTCAATTGATTATATGTTGTGGTATGAACAAAATAAGAAGCCGTATATACTGACAGAGGAGGAACAAGCACGAGAAATTTATGTGCCTCCCCAAAACCATCTGCCGATGCAATGTCCCCCAACGCAATGTGGTGCTAGAGGGGAATCAAGTTAGAGTAGAAGAAAACACACTCCAACCTCATCATCAAGAATGACATAGGAACCTGTAGAGCATCAGATACTGCTAACACCACATACATTCACTCACTTGATTTATTGAGCATTTCAACATATGACGCCTTCAATGGAAGGTTATTTCTTCGATGCATTTCATTCATTTCTGATGGTCGTTCTCCCTTCCCATTGCCTTCCTGCACCATTTGGACTGTATTATCCGTCACCTCCATCTGTATTTGTTCAATCATTGACAACAGACTTTGACTCCGGTAGTGTTGAGCACACGCCACTGTAGAGCATTTTTTGTACCGGTCTTGGTCCTACTGGCAGTGGTGGTACTGAACATTTAGATGGCGATGACGATAATGACGAAAACGATGGTGGTGGTGATAGATTGATTCATAGGAATCCTCGTCAGACTTGTCGTCTACTACGGTGCGACACAGGTGGACATAAGCATCATTAGTTTTTTTCTTAAAATGAAAAAATATTTAATGTTTGAAAAACCTTATTGTAAATTTTTTAGTTAATCAAACTCCAGTTTCTTTTTTTTAAATAGTATTTGAATATAATGTTCTAATTTTTTAAATTATTAATTAAGTTTTGATAGATCAAATTTTCAAAATATCAATCAAATTATCCTTGAACAACATGATACTTATTTAAATAGTAATTGATAAACATAATAAAAAAAGAACTACATGGAGTCAGAAGATGCTTTTGCGTATTCTGTAGAAATGTCCGATGAAGATGATGATGAATATGCTTTTCTTTCTTGGTCCCAAGGTCTACGGGTGTAATGTAGTAGAATTGGCTCTTCGTCTTCTTGGTCTTGTGACAATCGAGATGCTTATGCGTTACTTGATGAAGATGTTTCTCCCTCAAATTTTACAATCAACTCAATGTTCATATCACTGACACGTTTATAAGCCCTAAATATCTTCCGAAGGTCCTTTTCATTTGATAAGGTTAACATGTAATGTGCTTCAAGACCAGGTTCATCAACATGAACTTTCACTTGCAAAAAAACATTTGTCGTGTTGTAGATTTTTTAAGCTTCGTTGAAATCAGATCATATAATTCATCTTTCTCGTTCTTTGTGTTGAAGGCAGTGTAGAAATAAGTTCCGGAGTGGAACACAGTTTCAGTTTAAAATCTTGCCATTAAATATGTTTTACGAAGATATATGTCCAACATGATTTTCAAATTGGTTTTATAGGAAAATAAATTTCATTAACCTTGTGTCCTGTCAAATGTGAGGCCTATTTTCAAATCAGATGTGTACGCTAAAGGTGTTAACATGTCAGGAATCTCTGCCACATCGGGAATCTCTATGGTACTCGCTTTTTGTACAACATGAGGTCCCTGTCATGTCAGAAATCTGACTCCTAGTATTATTATATCAATTAAGTTTAAATTATTAATACTCAATTATTTTTTAAATACTAATTAGTTTTTTTTGGTTCGATGCATAAATACTTTGTTCTTATTAGTTGAAATACTCAAATATTTAAATACTAATTTATAAATATAAAAAAAATTACACAATGTTCCTATTAGTTGAAATAAATAGAAGATGATTCTGATTTCGTGTCTTCGTAGTATGTAGAAATGTCTGATGTTAAGTTAAGTTCCTCAATTATTTGTTCTTTCTCCCGACGTTTACGGGCATAACATTACAAAATTGCCTCATCGTCTTCTTGGTCTTGTGACAACA